AAAAAAAAAAAAAAAAACCAACAATAAAAAAGGTTGAGGATGTAGCTCAGTGTAAAGGCCCTGAGCCCAATCCCTAGTACTTCTGAAGCAAAACAAAACAAAACAAAACAAAAACATTCTGTGAGGCAAGAAAGGCATTTCAACAGTCTAAAATCTTGCCATGTGAAGTGAGTCTAGGATTAAGTGATTAAGACATTTTTCATATAATGACTCTTAAACATAAGCTAAAATCTTTATCCTTTTTAACAGAAGAAAACAGTAATCAGTGATAACTGTCCATAAGTGATTCTCTATTTTTTAGTTTAAATGATGACCTTATAACTAACCTTGCGACCTTACAACTAATACTTCATACAAGAGAGTAAGTAACGTCATAACCCTACAGTTAGGGCCGGGGATTTAGCTCAGTGGTTCCAGCACTTGCCTTTCAAGCGCAAGGACCCGAGTTTGGTCCCCGGTACCAAAAACAAAACAAACATAATCCTACAGTTAATAAATGCTTGGAGAGTTATATGTGTGTGTTATAGCAGGACTGGCTTGATTCCCACCACTGATGCACTCTCTAGACTAACGTTAGCTTCAAAGAGGAAGGGCCAATGAATTATAAACCCAGAAACTACAGTTTGAAGCTAGTCCTTTTATTCTCAACAGCACTCCCTCTCTTCTGCCCCATGATCAGAAGGTGGTAACTATGACAAGTGTTCAGTCTTTGACCAGTCGGGGCAGAGAGTTAAACCCTGGATATGAAAAGCCTGAAGGGTGTCCTGATTCCCAAACTAGGAGTGGCACAAAGAAATCCGTAAGGCAAGGTGATATGCTTCCTTGGTAACATAACAGTAAAATCACAATGAAACCAAATTTAAGGTTCATACAAGTGAATTAAATCAGAATCGAGAACTCAACACAAATAGAGTCAGCTAGGCTGGCTGGCTGTTCCAAAGGGAACAGTCTTACAATAGTCACGCCCATCCAGCCAACCCCTCCTAACCTCAAACCATGTCATCATATTTTGACCCATATAATCCTTCAAAATTTTTTTAATCAACTTGTGATTGCACTTCTATCAGATACCTAGAATGTCCCACCAAGAGAGACAGGAAGTAGAGAAGTTCTCAGGGGCTGGTGAGGACAGGAAGTTACTGCAGACTGAACAGGTGCTCATTACAAATTTACTGAATGACTGTTTGCTGATTCCAACATTCATTTCTCTGAGCCCTGAGGACATCATTTTGTGGTTCATTGAAAGAACTTGAAAATCTGTAGTTTCTATTAGGAATTATCCACTGGTCAAATGGAATTCCTAAGTCCTGAGCAAGACCATGATCTAAGACACATTAGAATATGACAAATTTCAGTCACAATGACTTCTATTAACTTGTAATTTTTTTTAGGAAATGCAAAAATAAAATATGGCAAAGCTTAACTGAGGAGACTGTTAATGTGCAAGAAGTAACAAAGCAGCTAGGCATACATAGTACATGCTGAATACTAGAAAACGTTTCTGTGATGCTGTTAGCCACTGTTTCTCAGCCAGGTTAGAACATTCTGTTACTATGTATAAAGCCAAGACTCATCTCGGAGGGACAGGAAAAAACACCCATGCAAATATTTACACAATAAAGTAACAAATGCTTACAACAGTAGGACAGCACTGCTAGATAATTTTTGTAATTCTAACACTAAAAGTTTTCTATCACTTGTATCACACTAGACTCTGTGGTGTAGAATGGACAAAGGTTTGAAGACTCAGACCCAGGTTTGTGGCTCAACATGATGGAGGTTATCAGTGTGCCACTACATCAACTCCTGAGAAACTCAGTTTCCTCATCTGCAACTAAAAACAAATAAACTTAATTATATGTATTTTCAAGGTTTTGAGACCTAAATAAGAAAATACATATCGAGCACTGGATCATGTCCAAGATTAATTCACTCATAAATGTCACTTCTTTTCCCTACTTTGTTACATTATTTTCTAACCCTGGTACTGGAAATTGAACCTTAGCCTTCTCATTGAGCTACATCCCTGCCTTTATTTATCGTGAAACAGCAACTCCTGCAACATGCCCAACTGCGCTGAACCTTGCAATACTCCTTCCCAGAGCTGCTGCTCTAACACACCCGGCCTCTACTCTGAAGTGGGGATTTCCATGAATCCACAACGCCGCTCTCTCTCTCATCTTTACCCACTGGGTGTATCCATTGAGGGGTACCATCTTCATTCACCCAGCTTTAAGAAGGTATTTACAAATGAGCTGGCACTTAAAAAAGAAGCTCGACAAACAGGCACTCTTTTCTCAAAAAATATCAAACTTCTCCATCTATTACTGAAATTTTATATGTTCAGTAATGCAGGATGAACATGGAGTAGTGCTCCCTTAACTGTAGTTTAACTTTCTGTGGTTCAGTTTCCCATGGTCAAAACTACAACGTGGAATATTACTAATTCATGAACACTGTGAAATAATGTAAACATTTCAAACTGTGTACCATTCTAAGTAGTCTGAAAGATCTTGTGACATCCTGCTCTGTCTTGCACTTACAGTGGGAGACCTGAACATCCCGCTGTCCAACACGTCCACACTAGAGATGCCACCTGCCTGTCCTCTCAGGTACCTGATCAGCTGCTGTGGGACTGCTGTACTTCGGTTCATGTAACTCTGACTTACTTAGTAATGGCTCCAAAGTACGAAAGTAGTGATGCTGACAATTGTATTATATGGTTATAACTGTTCCATTTTATTATTAGCTATTGTCATTAATCTCATTTTGTGCCTAATTCATAAATGATGTTTTACCAAGATACATATGTACAGGAAAAATATAGTATATATGAGGTTGGTACTATGATTTCAAGAGACATGTGTATAACTCTGGACCAACTCTCCACAAGACTTAAAAAGTAGTAATATTTTAGCCAGCCATGGTGGCGCATGCCTGTACTCCCAGCACCCTGAGAGACTGAGGCAGAAGTGCAAGGTGTACTGTCTCACTTTCTTCTTAGTCAAGCATACTAACATTGTGCCCCACCCTTTGAAATAAATATACCTGTAAAATTTCTACCTCAATAAGACCGTTACTTTTTAATTTCCAAAAAAGAATTTAAGCAACAAGTAATTTGTAAAATGAAAACTTTTCAATTAAAACAGAGAAAATACCTCTGTTCAAGTAAATAAATTATTGTCAACTAAATCTGATTTCAGCAATCACTTACTAATGAATTTCTTACCACTCATTTTAGGTTCAATGGTAAGATTATATATGTACTCTTTTGAAGTGCTAAACTTTCATTTGGCAGTTGAAGTTCTTTATGAGAGAATCACTCACAGAAAGAATTTTGCTATGAAAACTCAATTGCCACCTCATAATACCCAGTACAAACAGGGATAACCCCCATTCCCCATGCCTCTTTGCATGAAACAACAGGCAGCCACACCAAACCCCTCAAGCGTAGACCCGTCCTCTGGGATGCAGGCAGCTCACTGGCAGTAGGCAGTGTACCTGTTGTTCCAGGAGGCAGTGCATAAGCGGAGGATGACGGGGGAGCTCCTGGTCCGCCATGCTGGAAGGATGACCCCAAAGAAGAGGGAGGAGGGAAAGCAGCAGCAGAGGTGGAGGTAGGAGAAGAGGCCAGATGCTGTGCTGAGTAGAGTGGAGCCTGCCCAGAGTAGGAAGCAGCAGAAGAGATGTAAGGGGTGTTAGGGTAAGCACTCGAGGCAGGAGGAGCAGAAGGCTGCTGAGGTCGGTACATTGCCGGCCCTCCTGTTCCAAAGGAATACTGCTGGGCTGCTTGATAAGCTACACCAAGAAGAAACAGAAATTACAATTAGTTCCAAGTTTATTTAAACAACAAAACCAGAAAGTTAGCTCATTCTATGGAAATAATTGTAAACATTCATAACAACAAGGTAAAACCAAAAATCAACATTTCTGGGCTGAGGTGTGATCCCTGGTAGAGGGCTTGCCTGGCAAATGTAAGGCATTGGATTCAATCCCTCGCATCACAAACAACACACTACGCTTTTTGTGGCTCAGATGACCTAAGTATACTTAAAATCATTAGCTCTAATATTTGAAAACTGCCAGCCCACATTATTATTAGTTATGAAAATTTTTAAAGCACCGACCCTTTGCTTAGACCATTCCTATCCTAGGAAAAAACCGCACTGACAATCAGCAACCACCAGAGGGAAGCAGGCAGGAACCACACACTCAAAAAGTCCTGTTACAGAAAAAGTCCCTGGCCTGACGAGGGAGATCTTGATACTGCCACATTGTGTGACGTAGGGGACATGTGCGCCTCTACAGAGGGTATCTAGGGGACCTGTACAGTTTCTGGTGAGTTCTATGAAGACAAATAGAGCATTTGAGTGAAATCTGTATTCATGTTGGTAAGAAACACGTTAGTTTAGAGCACACTCTTTAGGATTACTTCTTCTAGGTAATGGCCTCTTACTCTTAATAGCTGTGTTATCTTATAATTTTCTCCTTTGAGATTTTGTTTATTTAGGTTTTTGCTTTTAATTTTGAAGATATAGGGAATTTTTTACTTTCCAAGTGCAATTATTTTCTAAAAGTAAAACAAAACACCAACAAATGCCAATGGTAGATGATTACCGTTGTACATTTGTCAAAGCCTGAAGAAGGTATAAAACCAAGAGTCATAGGAGTCTAATTATGGAGTCTGAAGTGGTCATAAAGCATCCCTGCAGGTGAACTGACTGCGGCAAATGCACCACTACGGCACAGAACGTAGATAATGGGGAGGCTGCGCATGCGCGGGTACTCTGTACTTCCTGCTCACTTTTGCTATGAATCTTAAACTACTTAAAAAACAAAAACAGTAACAAATACCTCTTGAAAGCAATGGTACAAAAATGGTTTGTACTATTTTGTTTGAAATAAAAAAAATACATACGAGGTCATTGTTTTTAAGATTTTTGAGATAGGGTCTCACTATGTAGGTCAGACTGGCCTTGATATCACCATGTAGCCCCAGGCTGACTTGAAATCTCAGTGATCCTCCTGCCTCAGCCTCCAGAGTGCTGGGATCACAGGTGTGCGCCACCACACCCAGTTTCAAATAATTGCTAAACGGTTATTTTAGATTCAATGGGGTATCTGACCCTCCTTAGCCGTTCTTAGTAATGGTGGCTCAGGGACAGGAGCCAATGCCCTGAACAGAGTGACAGGAAGCTCCTTCCTAGTACATTGACTCAGGATGGTTTGAAGGGAAAGCCTGTTCTCTGTAGGAAGGACCCAGGAGCTGTATAACGAATGATTCTTACTTTATTTGCAAAAACTGATTTGACCATGGCTCTGGTGCTTCAGTGTAGTTACTATATGAAACATGACCTGCTGCGAAGGACTTCAGATCATATACTTACGCTGTGGCTGTGGGTAAGGTGGTACCTGACTGTGCATATGACCCGGAGATGTAGGAAGCTGAGCAGCAGCATTTGGATTGACATTTCCATGCATTATGAAGCCCGGAGGTGGAGGAGGGTTTTCTATCTAGAAAAGATTATGGTGAAAAAGAGGATTACATTTGGGAGCAAGGTATAAATTCATACATAGCTTTCTAATCTCTGAAATGGAATTCTATGGTTTTTGAAAAAAAGAACAACTTTACTGTATAAAAACTACTTCCTGAGCAACCCACTGAGTGATTTAAAGATCAAACAGGCCCAAAGTAACAGGTGAAATGAACAGCAATAGAGGCTAACAGATCCATAAAATAATATCAGTAGTATGATAAATCACCAGGATTATGTTTCTATTAATTTTCATCCACTACTGCACACTGAAAATATAATAAATGGCATAAAGGAGACTTTAGTTTTCTTCTATTACTACAATGCTTAAAAAAAGCGAACAAAGAAAAAGAAAAAAATAATAGAAATGGAAAAAGTCTTTCAGTAAAATCAGCCGATTTATATGACTGCTAGAACCTTGCTTATTATTTTTCTAACTCAAGTCAACTGAGAACTGTAAATGGAAAGAACGAATAAGGGAATAAATTAATTTTCCTACAAGTTGCCTCTTGCATTCTAAAAGCAATAAAATGCAATGAGCACGCAGACGGATGTGAAGTAAGGATAGGGAAGTTGAGGAAGGGGGAGAGAGGATATATAACTATATATTTCAGTGAGCAGATCCTGCTCAAAGAGGAATAATGAAGGATATACCTGTGTGTCAGAGGGAGAGGCTGCAGGTGGATGGCTGGGAAGGGCAGTAGGAGTTTTGTTACTCCAGGTAGTGGCAGTAGGGGCAATTCTAACCTGGATCGAACACAGAAATACCAATCACAGAAAATAAAAATGAAAATGTTAAAAGAAAAAAACAACCCAAAGGTATTAACAGCCAGATGCAAAGCAAAAAGCAGAAACAACAAGATAACATATACTGGTCAGGTGATCGCTTTCAATGTAGCAGGGATGCCAAAAGAAAAGCAGAAACAAAACAGGAGAGAGGCAGAGAAAAAAATCAATACGAAACCTACATCAAATCACAAGTACAAATGCTATTTGAGCATCAAAATTAAAGTGGGGAAAATTAGATTCTGTAAGTAGAAAAAGAAAGAAAACATCCTGGAAAAAAACTGAGTAAAACTGATTTCTGAAGCATTAATAGGATACATACTACTAGTAAACTACAAACATTACTATAAGCTCTCTTTTCTGGATTTCATGAGAGAGCCATGAAAATCATGTTAGTCCCACAAAACTTAAAAATCAAACAATCAGAGAAGACTGAAGTGGAACAATATAAATTACCCAGTTTAATTTATTTTACCAATGAGAAAACTGAGGTCCAGAGATATGAAGCGGGGGTCAAAGTTAGTGGTGGAACTGTAACTCATTCTAGGCCTCCTGCTTCCCACAACAGTGTTTTTTATACAACATGTCACCTACCCTGGAGGTCCAGTGGTTTTCAATTTTTTTTAAAGCCATCAAAATCTTTTTTATCATGTAAACTTTTGTATATAAAAGCAAAGCTGTGGTCACTGAAGTGGGAATGGATCTCCTACTAATCTGGATTCCCTTTTATTCCTTTACACACCTGTAAACACTGCTTTAAAACTACAAGGTACTGTCTTCATTCATTCAGCAGATGATAAGCTTTAAGAAAATCACTGATTTGTAATTCAATTTATTTTTCCTTTCTTAAAACATGAGAATGGTAAATTAAAGTATAACAATATCTTTCAATGCTTTTATCTTTCCTCAGAAAGACATGTCATACAAGCTGAGAAATGAAAACTCTGTATCTTCAAACTCAGGTGGGCTGCTCAACATCCCCTCCTCAGTTTTCCCACCCATTTTGGGATCTGCCCCATTGAAGTGACAGACTTCCTAAGACAAGTACAATCTCCACGAGGGTAGGCAGTTCTGCGTACTTTGTTCTCCAGCAGACTCCGGACAGAACAATGCCAGGAATTCACAGCAGGGTCTCAATAGATGTTTGTCAAATGAATAAAAAAAAAAACACGTGTTCTATATAGTTAACACATTCATCAAATGTAATCTATTTGACTTCCAGTCCAAAGTGCAACAGATAACAGAGATGACTTTTTTCTTTTTAGTTTTCTGCAATGTTGTTTTGAGGCAGGGTTCTCACTACATATTCCACACAGGACCGATCTTATCTCAGCCTCTTGAGTACTGAGATTATAGGTGTAAGTCATTATGGCCAGCTACTTTTGTTTGTGTGTTTTGTTTTGTTTTTTGAGACAGGGTTTCAGTATGTAGTTGAGACTGACCTAAAACTCACTATGTAGGCCAGAGTGTCAAACTCAAAGCAATCCTCCTGCCTCAGCCTCCCCAGTGCTAGGATTACAGATGTGTGCCACCACAACCAGCTTATTTTTCTGTGATTTTTAGATTTACTTTTGCCATGATGAAATGTAAACATGTAGGGCCGTGGATTTAGTTCAGTACTTCTGCTGCCTGCCTTGCAAATGCAGGATCAGAGTTTGATCCCTGGTACCAAAAAAAAAAAAAAAAAGGAAAAATGTGTTGTCCATTCTATCGCCAATTTGTTCTATTTTAAAATAGAAAATAAATAAAATAAAATTGGCAGCGTATCTCTTCATTTTGCTATCAATCTATACCATACCATCTATTAATTATGGAAAAATACTTTTCATATAAGGACATGAGTGAAGGTTAGCTCCTGTTCTGGAAATAAAGTTTCTAATGAAACAATAAGACAGAGTAAGACCATATTTTATGTAAGCAAACACTCATTTAAATAAAACAAATGAAATTAATCCGTTCCATATTTCACATAACCTGTTCCATAAACTGTCAGTTGTTCACTTTTTTCTAATATCCAACTTATCCAAGAAATGTCCGTGTTCTGAATGTTCTTTAATGTGCAGACACAGAAAAAATAGCAAATCTGCACTGATGATGCAGAAAAGAATGATCAAAAAAGACTACTTTCTAAAAATATTGTTTAAATTAACTAAATCACTGAAAGGGTTGTTTCCATTAATTTTCTTACAATTTGTTAGATAAATTAAATAGACATTATAGGCATTTCAAAAACAGTACAGGGCCGGGGATTTAGTTCAGTGGTTCTACCACCTGCCTCACAAGCCCAAGGACCCGTTTGATACCCGGTACCCAAAAAAAAATAAAAAAGAAAGAAAGAAGAAAAGAGGGAGGGAGGGA